AGTTGTTACACCGGGCGCCTGTGGGAAGCCTCGTGTCCAGAGGGCCGTGACGCTCTCCGGAAGGCCGTTGAACTGTGCCTCCTCCTCAGACCGGCCCGTCGTTCGCTTCGGAGGACAGTTCTTCGTTCGGCGGCACTGGACGCGCGAAGCGCCTTCTTGTTTTGTGGTTTGTTCATCCGCTTGTTTTCACTCCAGATGAGCCTTGTCGAGGTTGGCTCTTTCCTGGACGGCTGGACCTGATGTCCGCTTGCCGCCGGTCGCTGTGGTGCGAAACGAATCGTGTTGTCTGAAGATCTGTACGCGTCGAGGCGTTGTGTCGCCTTTTCTCTTCTCGGCGTTTGATCTGTCGAATCGTTCCTATACGCGTCCCTCAAGCTCTTTCGCCTGTGGACCCTAGGAATGTTCCATATCAAATCTAATAATTTTATTTGCTTGCATGCGAGGCGATGTGTCGGCTTTTCTTTGACCACTTTTGTCGAATACGTCTCTCAACTTCCGCTGCCTATCGACAGGTTCCTCCTCGTCAAATCGACCGTGCTGATCAATTCATTGCGCGTTGTTTGCATGCGAGGGTGCTGTCCAACCAGCTCGATAAGTTAAGGTTTTTGCTCAACTTTGTTTTAATTTCGTTATTGCCACTCATTTTCAATAACGATGTTGTTGCAGCCTGTCTTTTGGTTGTTTTTTCGTTCGTCCCCCCCCCCCCCCCCCCCTTCTCCAATCTGTGTGTCTGTCTGTGCATCGAAGTCTCTGTCCATTTCTTGCTGCGCGTTTCGTTGATCTCTTCAACACTTTAGTTCTCTGACTGTAAGTTGTCTCGTCACGCTTGTCTTATGGTATGTTTTTGTCTCGTTCTTTTTTTTTTCCCTCGATGTTTTTGGATAAAACCACTTTTAATCAATCGGTCAGTGTGTGCGTCTGCCTCTGACTTTATCCTTCTGTAAGTGACTTTCCGTTCGTTTTTCTCCGTCCGATTTTCTCCGTAAATTTCTGTCCGTGTATTTTTGTCCGGTCCGCGTCTTTCTGTTCGTGTCTCTGTGACCGTGTTTTCTCTTCGTGTGCTCCTGTTCGTGTCCGCGTCTTTTATGTGTCCGCGTACTGTTCGTGCGCCTGTCTTCTTTTTTTTTTTTTTTTCTGTCCGCGTCTTTTAGTTCCCGCGTCCTCTTGCCAATGTCCTTGTGTCCGTGTCCTTCTCTTCGCGTCCGTTGCATAATGCGCGTGTCGCAAACCGTGCCTGTCCCGCTTCGATGACGTTTCCTCGCAAGCGTCCCCCCTGCTCGCACGTTTCCCGTCCGTTTCGTTCCGCCATGCCTGTCCCCCTAAGCTCCGTTGTTCTTTTTTTTTATGCACATTTTTATGTTTGCCTGTACACCCTCTGGGTATGCTCTGTACTGTGGGCCGTAACACTGCGTGTGTTTATGACTGTCAAACTCTCGCAGATTGCCTTTACCTCAATCCATCTTCTCTTATTTTTTATATATAGTTCGCCCAGCTGTTTCGACTGTAGGCGTTTTTTAGCGTCTCGCATCGCACCTGTTTTGCTGTGCACTTTGCCCCTGTGTACTGTTTCTGCGATCCAGCCACGTGCTTCGTTTTTTGTTTTTTTTATGGTACGACTCGGGTGGTCTTGTGCACGCGTTGCTCGAAAAAAAAAAAAAAAAAAAAAAAAGGTAATCGATTTTGATTACAAATACTCTCGCTAAAGAAAAGTATTCAGTTAGGCAATTCGATTACGTGAGACGAAAAATAATTAGCCGTTACCTAAAAAAAGAAAAGAAGAACGTTACTTTTTCGATGGAGAGAGAATGAGATTACCTTTAATTAGTACAGTGCGAGTCTGCTTAAGTGCCATACATATTTTACAACATTTATTAGGACATTACGTTCAGGTGTCCAGACGTTCGTCAGCACTGAACGGACATGTCCTGAAGATAACACGAGTAACAAAAAGGAAAAAAAAAACTTTTCGTTGCAGGAACGGGTTATTTATTAGAATTTCTTGACGTTTTCTTTTTGTGTAGAAGCTAAACGAAATATTTGTTCTCTTTGCGGCAAGAAACCCTAAATCATCGCCATCAACTCTCGTGAAAGGCGTGAAAGCCAAGATAGATGCCTAGAGCCACTAAATGAGCTGCGTTAAGAGTATCGGCCACTGATCTCTATTGTAGTAGGCCAGTGGTATCGGCTCTCTGTTCCGCGACATTGTTGTGGGCGCCGCCATTTTGGTTCGTATGCAGAGCAGACGCAACTGCAAATCTTCATGATTCAAAAGTGCGACTTTCTCAGCATTAGATTCGGTGCTAGGACGCTCACGTAATATTGCTTTGCTCTGTTCCGAACTGTTCCAACATTTCTGGAGGGCGGAAAAGTGCTTCCTGTGATTTCAGATAACGCTTCAGGTAACTGGCAACCGTGATTTTAGGCCACAACGTGGGCAAGTGTCGTTACTCTGGAGCGTAGCTTATTTAGGGACACTTTCTGAAGGAACGAAAACAAGTGTCTGCGATAGATAAGGCACAACGTTTACTCACGTCTGTGGCGGTCAGCCTGTTCTTCCAAGGCTATGGATCTCCGGCAAAGAAAGTTACCGCTAGACCCTTCGATCTTTCCAGATGAACCGTTTGAAGTTAGCGGTCGCTGTGACTAAAAGAACTAGAATTAAGACTCGATTTCAAAAGTTTTGTCCTTGCCTCGCGCCAAGAGTACGCGCCGCACGAGCTTTTAATCGTGCGCTGATTGTTATTCAGCGAGCGTGAGCACTTTCGACAGATCTTGATCGCGTATGGCCCGATTGCAAGACGTCCGCAAAAACACGCCTTCGCTGGCGGCGGCCGTTATGCCCTTGGCCTTGGCTGCTTCGCTCACGGGGACCTGAATTTTGTCTGACACGCCAGGGAGTGGTCGGTCTGTTCGATGCCATCGGATGATGATCATCTGCACTCCCGCGTTGACCCGCACTCCCACGTTAAGCACTCCCGCGCTAACGGCGCTTTTCTGTCACATTAAATATTCTGTGAACTTGCGTTGCCAGGTATTTTATGTCATCGCATCTATTTCCCCACAGTCTATGCAAGTTTTCTCTTTCTAGAAAGAAACTCGGAAGGTTTATACGAGGGCTTAGTGTGCGTGTAGAAGCGAGAGTTGGAAAAAGCTGAAATTTCGTGGGCTGTCGGCACATCGAAGCTATTTTGTTTCACCCTATTGCTCTATCATTCCGCATAAATCTCTAGGAGGGAAGTATCTATACGCTTTTAATTCTCATGAGAGGATTTAAAAAAAAAAAAACTATTTATTTTTGATTTCAAATCTTAATTTTGACATTTGTAGGAAAACTCGTATATTAAACGTAACATCCTGTCCACGCATTAGCACCCGCCTCCACCCTTTCCCTCTGGCATAAACCCGACTGGCGTAAGTCCTCCTCGGTACGCCAACCTGCATCCAGTCAGTGACGGAACGAAATTGGACATCGGGCGTCGATTTTGAGCGAAAGTTCCGTCAATTTCGTTCTCGGTTGGGATCATTGCTGAAATCTCTAAAATGGACCATTTTCGGAATAAGTGAGTGAAAATAAGTGAGCACGTGCTCAAGAGAGCGCGCGCATTCCATCGAGCTTCAGTGACCTAGATTAGTACGCTCCTTCAACGTCCCTTCTATGCTTATTGTGGCCTTATCTTCTTGCCCACAAGTACCTAATACGCTTTTACGATCTCCTCCCTAATGCGCGCGTTGTTTGATCCTAGGAGTCCTCGAAGTCTGATTTCCCGCCAGGTGGCGCCAGTTATTTCTAAAATGGCTAGGCGGCTCAAGCCGTCGCCCGATTTAAAGGGTTCAGCCGTGTCCACTCATCCATCCACCCAAGGTTGCCACCTACTGAAGTCGCTCCTGACTCGGCGCACAAAAGGCACCTCCATTTTCGAAACCGAGCCACGTTTCGATGGTCGCGGGTTATCTAGGTCACCCTTTGATTTATTAGTAACGTCTCGTTTCAAGTTTCCGCGCAAACAAAAATCGGACCAGTTGGTTATCGGCGTATATATACCTCGCTTCCTAAACGTGTCAAGGTTTCGATTGTCTGTATTTCGAGGCCACTTTTTGCTACACCAACTTTGAGGGTTTTCACTGGCGGGGATCTGTCTTGCGTCTCATTTCCATAGTTATGAGTCGCAGGCAGCGGCTTTGCCTTGCTTGCAAGACGTGCGTGACTCAATTAAGTTCGCACTTTTCGTCTTCTACGCGCTCTTTGTTTTAAGTTCAGTGAAAAACTTCGAAAGGGGGCTGAGTTCGTGGGGAAAAGGTTATTTGTTTTCCTCGTATAGTACCAGACAAAATAAGAAAATTTATATTTTTTTCCCCCGCCCAGAAGATTAGAACGTGGTTAGGCTTAGTCAAATGAGTTTCTGAAAACGACTAGTTCGCTGTTCATGCTCGTTTACTCCGTGTCAACCTAACGCGTAGCGAAAAAAAAAAAGAAAAAGAATGCAAAGATGCTTGGGCGTAAAAGTGGACAACAAAAAGGTAAAGAAGCATCGGTGTCTCCTCCGACGCAAGCCGAGCGCGCTCCGGTTCTTGCTTAGGCCTGCCTCTTCTTTGGCCGTTATTATTATGACTTTTTTTTTCTGCTGCTCATCGTTTCTCATTATCGTGACTCGAATGCCGACGCTAGGCGAGCACGGCCCAACTCTGTGAAGCGAAGCTCGCTCCTTTTCTCCCAGAGAGAGACCAGGTCAGCTTGGTCGGCGATAGCCGCCGCCACCACCGCCGCGCCGCCACTTGCTGCTGCTGGTCCGTTTCCCTCGGCGGAGACGGTTCCGGTTGACCGACCGGCCGCTGCTTTCGCTCGCCGACAATGGCGCATCGGGCGCGCGTATTTGGGTTAACGGGCGAGGGGTACGGCCGCTTCCAAGTGGAGGCCTTCACCGCCGCCCCGCGACCGTCCGCGCAACAAGAGCTGCGAGGACCGCCCAAACTCGCCACAGCAGCCCCCGTTGGTGTGCCCTTCAAAGACGTGGTCGCTGGTAGCTGAGTTGCGTTAGGACTTGTGGCCGGGTCAGCAGCTACCTGGTTTTTTGGACGGTTGTTTTGGCATCATCTGTGTGTCCGCAGGCCCGGATCGCCGCAGTTCTTGTGCCCTCTTGGAAGACGTGGGTTCTGGTAGCCGAGTTGCCTTAGGACCTGTGGCCGAGTCAACAGTGCAGCTACCTCGTCTTTGGTGCTTAGACGGTTGTAAGCGCAAGGTCCTTGTGTCCAGGCCTGGATCGCCACACTTCCTGTGTCCTCTCCATAGACGTGGGCTCTGGTAGCTGAGTTCCCTTGGGACTTGTTGCCTTACCGGAACGTCCTGGTCAACGCTGCCACGTGGTCTTTGTTCTATCGGACTGTTGTTTCAAAGATTCACCCGACCAGGCACAGCTCGCCACAGTTGTGTCCTCTTCAAAAACGTGGTCTCTGGTAGCTGAGTTTCGTTGGGACTTGTTGCCGTGCCAGGACGCCTTGGTCAGCCCTGCTACCTTGTAGCCTGTCGTGCTCAAGAGTTGTGCGTCCAGGGCAGTTCGCCTCAGCTCTTGTGTCCTCTTCAAACAAGTGTCTCTTGACCATCGGAGCTGCCTTAGTCCGTGGTGTGATCCCCGATTTCGGTCTGGTAGCCAACGCCCTCGGACTGTCGCAGCTCGCCACAGTATCAGCTAGTGTCTTCCTCTTCAAAGACGTGCTTTCTTAGCGGCACTACCTTAATTGCTTAGTGCAGTTTGTTAGAACGGACAGCGGCGGTGGACCTCTTCCTTGCATCCTGGTGCGGTCTCGGAGGCTTCATCTTCAGCAACGTTTTTTGGGGCCCCACAGCGTCTTGAAAGGAATTTCTCTTTTGTACACAGGATTCCTGCGACTTTTGGCGTGTCATGAGGATCGACAACAGGTGTGGCACTCCAGATGCGTGCCGTTTTGGCATACGGGGTTTCGCCACCTGACTTTGAGGTGGAAGAGGAAAGGATTTGGTTATTCCTTCTGGGAGTTCATAGTGAAATGGCTCTTCAGTATAGGGTGTATTCCTCCGTATAAACCGCGGCATATAGTCGAAAAAAAAACAAAAACATTAGTTTGTTTCCGCTGGCACTTTTAAGTTGGAAATGGCCGGTCTTCATTTCGTACACACTGACAAAACGTTTCGCGCAGCTAGCAAATGGTTGCTGAGAACATAGGTTTTCTCGATCACTCTTTATTCCTTCATAAACACGTTTAGGTTGGTCTTGACCGATAAATGACTTTATTATACTTGGTCTTTTTTCGTGGGATACGATACGTGCATTCAGTGCGGGGAAGTTAGCCAAATATCAAACTTCACTCCAAAGTAGAATTGACATTTATATATATATATATTAATTTTTTTACTTATATGGTGTTTGCTATGAAGGAATACTTATAACGAATTTATTATTGCACTTGTCATAACATTGTCTTAAACTAATTATTCTTGTGTACTCATTGCCATGCATGCAAACCTGGCAGCAATCAATCACACCTTCAAGTCTCATCCGGTATGCTGCCTTCGGTCCGGTGTCAGTGATGTGGCGCTAGGCTGAAAGTATATTTAGCATAAATGTTCCACAGTGGTCCTGTTGTAATCGCACAGTAATGTGTAATCAGCACCCGTAAGGATATGAATCAGAGCGGACGCTACGAGCCATCGGAGCCAGTTCAGTGCTCAGAGCTTGTCACGTGACCTCCCGGTGTCGCGGAAAGCCTCAAGTCACGTGGCACGCGCGGAGCGTTGGATTGGTTAATATGGCTTGTGCCTTCCGCTTGCTCATCACAATATATCGCAGTCAAACTTCCAAGTCGCAACTTTGAGTTGTAGCGAAAAAAAGAAATTGAAATCGGATGTTTCACATAACGGAATGACGCTTTCCCGGATCAGTTTCATGTTTCTTTTCTTATGATCCTGGCTAGTTCATTACTTATCAATGTAGACTGTCTTACCTGACGCCGTTTGTCTTGTAGAGAAACAGATGAAACCAGACTGTCGATCTAGGATGTAAGTGAACAGCTTGATTGACGCTGTCCCACTGGTTGCCTCCAGGAGCCTGCTGAAGATGCTGAACGGCCACAACGGCGGAGACGCGTCGTCTGCGACGTTGTCTTGGAGCGTGGGGCTTCTGAACGGCGCCCACAAGTACCTCACAGCTGAGACGTTTGGGTTCAAGGTATGGCCTCGTCACAGAATGTAAATCGTGGAAAAGCCTGCGCCTCTGCTGCTTGTTCATCAGTCCCGACTGTGCCTACTATATTTATTTTAGTGAATTCGAAAACAAACGATGAAAACTTGCTTAATATCTAGTCTAGTGTCTTTGTATCTGGTTGACCGGAAGACCCTAACAATCGGTGCACCATGTAAAAAAAAAAAAAAGAAATCCTATTTTAATTAATTTTTTTTAGGGGATTATTTTGGTGTTACATTTCTTGAGACTACTCGTTGTGTTACTTCTTTCGGGGTGACGCTCCTTGTGGCCACCTTTTTCTTCGTGGGGAAGCCTTTAAGGCCACTATTTTATGGAGTCATCTGTTCGGATTACTCGTGGTGCGATTGCAGCGTCATTTACGCCAAACAGGGCCAAAATACTTACCGCGCAGCATACTGCTACACGTCACTAAAATATGATAAATTTACGCCAGAATAGTGCCAAATTTTAATGTGAAGACCAACCGGTCCTTCACACTGGAAGCGGATCCGCGTTCGCAAAGCGGTTGCGAACGCGGTTGTATAAAGATCCAGTACAATGTCACGCGCACTTGATGTCATCGAGTGCGCCGGCAATTGTACTGGATCTTTATACAACCGCGTTCGCAACCGTTTTGCGAACGCGGATCCACTTCCAGTATGAAGGAGCAGTAAGAGCTTGGGTCCCTCCCTCTACGGCTCGAGTCCCGCTGCCCCGCCACCCCGTAGGGTTTCCGAAATTCCGTATATCGCTTCAAATTACATACTATTCGAGTCTATCTTCGCGTCTCAATATTTCGCATTACTCGTGGTCTGTTTTTAAAGGGCAACTCCGCTCAATTCCGAAAAATTTAGGCTTGCATGCGATTCACATTCACAAAGCACTACTAAACAACTCTACGTTTTCGGATTCGCGAAATGTGGAATATTATTAGTGTAATCCTAATTTAAACATCAGCAGATACCGAAACCGAAACTTCGGTTGCGTCAGGCAACATTGGTCTCGGGTCGTCAGGGTCATGGCACGTCACGTCGAACCACGTGGTCTTGTGACGTTCGGGAGAAAACAAAAAAAAACCAAGCGAAATCTTTTTTTTTTTTTTTTTTTCATTATTATTATTATTTATTGGACGCGGGGAGGTCGCTCCGCATGGCGTGGACGGTGATGGCCCGGGGGCGAGGGGGAAGGGCAGAAGACGAAAGAGGAGAAAACGAGCGGAGAAACAGACCGATGAGCGCGCAGGGCAGCGCATCCCAGGCGCATCCGTGTTACGGTGATCACGTGAACGCCCGGTCAGCCAACACCGGGAGGAGAAACTCATGACGACATCGTTGAATTTCGCTCTGAGAAATAAAAACAAGCAAAACGTGAGAATGACGTACATGCCTCTGACGTAGTGGCTCAACGTTGGCCGCTCCATCTCCGTGGCATTTACTGCGTTGGTGATTGCGCCTCGCGCCGCACGCTAGAGTTGGCAGATTTCGGCGACTTGGCTCGCTTGAAGGTTTGCTGGCCAGTTTATTAAATATATAAACGGAATTAGATCGTAATATTTGACAGGGGGTCTTCCTATATGATACTGAAGAGGGCTACATAGTTTTCTAAATATCAAAAATGAAGCGGAGTTGCCCTTTAAGCGGTCTAGTTAGCTCCGTTGGTGCGCTTCCCGCCTTGCACTGGTGCGCTGCGGAAAAGCGACCCTCGCGAAACGGACATAGCGATCCAGCGCATCCCGCTTCGCCGCAGCGCTTCCACATGCGTAGTGTGGGAAAAGCACTCCTCCAGGGCGTGCGGGAACGTGCACGTGTAATCCTATATATATATATATATAAACTGTAAACGACTTAGTTTTCGCGGGCTCAGTATTTTGCGATTTAGGTAAAAGCTGGAGTTTGAGAATTATTCGCGGGTTCTAAATTCCGCGACGCGGTGAGATCTCAATATAGATTCCAAAGTGTTTACATTTTACCGGAATTGTTCGCGGGACCTATTTTCCGCGAATTGTAGGCGATTCGCGAAATTCGCGAAAATTGGTCCTCGCGATAATTAAGTCGTTTACAGTATATATACATGCGTGTTTTCATCTCAAATCTGGAAGGCTAAAAGGGTATAATTTTTAATTTTGGCGAAAAAAAAATCTATGCTTTGGGGGCATTTCTCAAATGAAGGAGGGCGCAAATCGCATCTTTCCCATATTTTTTGTTCTCGAGTTACAAAGTGTGGAAGCCGTAGTGGCAGAAACTAGTGTTTTTGCCTGCCGTCGCAGGTGTGTGTTTGACACCCTCTGCTCACGCTATGTTTTTCCTACACCCCTTTAACTTTTCTTCCTCATTTAATAGGTACTATAGATACCCTGACGTATTCAAATATTTCTAATAATTTGATTGTTTTCTAAAAAGAATGTCAAACTCGTCATTCAGGTCGATTTTTGGTCAACTTTGACAGGTCATTACTTTGTCTGTACTTGAGGTAAATTTATTTCTTTGCCTCTACAGAAAGCCCAAAGCAAGCCCATTATAGATATAATATCATTATGGTCTGTTGACTAGCCGCTCCGCTACGTTCACGTAAACGTTGTAAGAAATAACAAATGTTGAAAGTTTGACGACGATTTTCTCAAAAACCCCATTTTTGTAAATTTTTTTTTTTTAATTATTTTAGATCTATTAGTCGTCTACAAAATAAATCTAGAAATGTAATATTTTGGTTGTATGTCCTCTATTTGAGCCGCAATCATGTGAAATGTGTGAACATTTGTTATTTTTCGAAACTTTTACGTGAAGGTAGCGGAGCGGCTACTCAGCAGTTCATAATGATATTACTATATCTATACTAGGCATGCTTAGGGCTTTCTGTAGAGCCAAAGAAATAAAATGTACTTTTAAGTACAGAAAAAGTAATGACCTGTCAAAGTTGACCAAAAATCGACCTGAGTGACGAGTTTGACATTTTTTTTTAGAAAACAATCAAATTATTTAAAAAATTTAATACGTTAGGGTATCTTTATAGTACCTATTAAATGAAAGGAATAAGTTAAAAAGAGAGGGTGTCAAACACGCGACCTGCGACGGCAGGCAAAAACACTAGTTTCTGCCACTGCGGCTTCTACGCTTCGTAACTCGAGAACAGAAAATCTGGGGAACATGCGGTTTGTGCCTTCCTTCATTTTAGAAATGCCCTCAAAACTTATATTTTTTTCGTGAAAATTAAAAACTGGACCCGCACCCTCGCACCCAGGTGCGTTTTCATTAGTTCTCAGAGCCTCCAGGTGGAGCAGCCTGTATCGATGGCCACGCGTTCCGGCGTTCGGGTTTCATTCCGTGCTGACTGTACGTACTCAGAGAATGTACTTCAAGTCAAGCACAAGTTTCCTAAACCTACTTGAAGTAGTACTTAAAGTACAATCTTTAGCTGTTTTCAATTTCGGGGAATTTCTGACCCTCAACTGCGTATTTGTTGTCTTCGAAATTGCATTTGTTTTCTTAAAAATGAAGTTTCTAGCCACAGGCAAAATGGGAGCAAAATTTTAAAAGAGGTCAGCTCCATGTTTAATAAGGACAGCTCCACATTGACGACCTAAGGCTTGTCCAAAATTGTTAAGGGGTTAAATTAAAACTAAAGGAGCTTTAGCAGTGTCCAGGTGGAAGCTTTTGGATACCTTTAATTAATTCAGCTGGATAATTTCAAAAACTCACTTTTCGTCAACTGTGAACGTGAAATTCATTGATGCACATCATTAAAGGACAAAAGCTCGGTTTTTATCTGAATTGACCATTGCACAGTTTTCTTGCATCCATTTCTATGCTCTAAATTATTCCATTCTAACAATATTTTATTGAAGTGCTACTTGGTTACCATTGATTCCACATTAAAACAACAATTGCAGATGCTCACACAATGTCCTTTATTAATACTTTGTGTGTTTTGCAAGTGACTGTCATAGGACCTTTTTGAAACAAAAGCAATAACTTTAGTCACATCATTCTTTTTACCATGTCTGGTTCTTTTCAGCATACCAAAAAGCTAGTTCAGTATTTGAGGAGATCAAACTGCCTGCTGTGCAATGGGCCATGAATCTTCACATACTATTTGCAGTTGAATAATTGGCAGCGCAGGGTTTTTCGGTTTTTCCAAAAGGTGCACCAAAATCACTCGAATCACATCGCCACGGTTAATCTTGCCGTTGCATTACTCTTTGCATTGATTTACTCTGCTTTGGTTTACTCTTTCCGTTGGTTTACTCCTTCTATTGGGCTATCCTTTCAGTCAGGCTACTCTCTTTTGGAGTTACTTGATTTACCTTCTCTGGTTTTACACCTCCTTTACACCTTTAGCATTATTCTTTCTTTAGAGGTAGTCTTTCTGTCAAGTGATTCCTTTTTGGTGTTACTCCTTTTTGGCACTGCTCTTGTCGGCCTTGCTCTTTCACTAGGGTTACTCTTCCTTTGGAGTCACATTTTGTTACTCTTCACAGTTTATTTTTCTTTTGGGTTACATTTTGGGACCACTCTTTATGTGGGGTTACCTTCTCTTAGGCTGCCCTCTCTGTGGAAGCTATGTGCCTTTCTATGACATTTCCTTCCAGAATACCGTCATGTTTTAAAAACTTGTCCTTGTTTTGTTGTGTTTTTCTTTTTTTTTTTTTCTTTTTAGAATGACAACTTAGTTTTGTAGTACCATATTTTCAAGATTATAGTCTTCAGCTACACATGTTTAAGAGTTGGAATTTCATGCAGTGCAGACTATCTACGGTGCAGACCGTACAAGGATTTGTTTCTTTGAAAGTCATTCATTCTGACAGGATGTGACTGATTTTGTGAATAACAGAGTGTTTTAGTGATCATTTACATATGCTACGATCGTCTTTGTAATCTAACAGAGCTGGCATTTGTCAAACTGGGCCATGTATGAGAAGCTTTTACGTGTGGACTAAGCACCCAGTGCAAACTAAGCACAGAGTCCAGAGAAGTACAGAGTGTGGATTAAGCACCAAGTGCGGATTATGGTCCGGAACACCCACTACACGCAAGCCAATTAGCGGGAAAAGATGGAGCCTTCCGTCAAACTCGAGCTTAACGTGTCCTTTCCCCCCTCCCCAGGTGAATGCCAATGGGGCGGCCCTGAAGAAGAAGCAGCTGTGGACCCTGGAGCCCTGCTGCGTGCCCGGTGAGGACCAGGCCGCGGTGCGCCTGCGCTCCCACCTGGGACGCTACCTGGCGGTGGACCAGTTCGGCAACGTGACCTGCGAGGACGAGGAGGCCGGCGAGGGCTCCCGCTTCCACATCACGGTGTCGGGGGACTCCCGGGGCCAGTGGGCGCTGCGCAACTCTAACCGAGGCTACTTCCTGGGGGCCTCAGGCGACCAGCTGGTCTGCGTGGCCAAGGCCCCAGGGTCGGCCGAGCTCTGGACCGTGCACCTGGCCGCCAGGCCCCAGGTAGGGTTGCCGAGCGGCGGGGCTGCAGCGTCACATTTCTTCCTCTTTTGCGTCCCAGCTCCTTGTTGGTGGAGAAGGGGTCGCATGTTCTACGTCAGTTTGGCCAAGTGGCAAGATTGGGGTTTTGTCGCAGACTTGTGGGCCAGAAAAGAAGGAAGTAACTTAAAACCGAGGAGAAATTATATAAATAAACCTACCGTTAAATACTGTAAAAGTGCCCACTTCGTTCAAGCGCCCACTACTAACATTTCCCAAACTGGGGAATTCTGTAAATTGTACGTTAAGTGCCTGATTTGACCGGACAAGGCCCTTGTCTAGATTTACCCACTTTTCTGTGAAAGTGGGGTGGGTGCTCTTCTAGTATTTTACGGTAAGTAAGCATTTAAATGCAAAAATTAATGTTAGAGTAAGTGTTCAAAAACCCTGGGGGTGGGGGGAGGGGTGAATACATAAACTTCCATTTGAAGTGTTTTAGCCAATTATGACATTGCACTACAATTGTGACCAAGAAAGCTCACCAGGCCTAAATCAAAGCACATGAAAACTTTGGCACATTTGTGCAGTGCAAAAGACTAATGAAAATGATAAAACTATTGCTAACAATATGAAATAGTTGTGGCAGAAGATACTAAGCACAATGTACTAGCGGGGAAAAATGAAATGCGAACAAAGGAGCGCGTGGCTCGCGGTACAGGCTGCGCCACCTGGAAGTGAGCCTAGGGGCGAGGGTGCGTGGCCTACTCCGATGTGTTCACGCCCTTCGCTCTGCGCTCTCCAAGCTTCGGCAGTGCGCCTCTCAGTGCGCTGAAAGCTATCACCGCTATCTTTGCTGCTTCAGCGCGTGCGGCGAGCTTCTTCGCACCGCACGCGCTGAAGCTTCGTTGGAAGGACCATGGCCTGCTGCGGGCCAGTCAGAAGATTTCCGCGGGCTGGATCTTTCCCACGGGCTGGGGTTTGATGACCCCTGCTCTACAGCGAGCGTTCTTTTAATTTTTGAGAAATTATTTCTTCAATGGCAGCCAAGGAACTCCTTTAGATCTTGGCATTGATGCTATAAAGCCTAAGCATACATATCTTGTAAGGTTGAATGTACGCACTAGAAAATGTTTGCCATATCGTGATTCGTCAATGGATAGCTCAGACCTTTTAAAGGGGTGCTTAAGCCGGGGGAAGACTTCACCTAGGGGCAGGAACTGTTGAGGAAGTTTCTCAGGGAACCCTCCGAGGGTTCTTGGAGGAACTCCCGGCTTTCTAGGAACCCAGCTTAAGAACCCGTGCTCTACAGTCTTCTCGTGTGCCCTTTCACTCATAAAAAAAGCTGTTCGACTAAGTCAATGAACCAAGTACAATTGAATCGTGAGCCGCACTTGAACCTGTGAAGAGCTGCACCCTGCCTGTGAGCTGCACTTTGGCCATCCCCGCTGTAGACTCTGTACAATGGCGAGAGCTTCGAAACGGCGTCTGACTTTTCATGTGCAATTTACTGCAGTTTCAAAACCCAAGGTCCGCTAATCCCTCTCGCTAGGTGACCATCCGGTCGGCCGGGCGCCGGCGGTTTGCCAGGCTGTCGTCTGCCGGTGACGAGATCCAGGTGGACGCAGCGACGCCCTGGGGCGAGGACACGCTGTTCACGCTGGAGTTCCGGGACGGCCGCTATGCCTTGCACACAGGCAACGACCGTTACCTGGCCCCTGACGGGAAGCTCCTGGAGACGTGCGCCCCAGAGTGCCTCTTCAGCCTGGAGTTCCACTCAGGGTGAGGGAGTTTATGTGTCTGACAACTATAATAGAGTGAGACTATAATAGAGTGAGACTATAATAGAGTCTGAGGCTATAATAGAGTCTGAGGCTATAATAGAGTCTGAGGCTATAATAGAGTCTGAGGCTATAATAGAGTCTGAGGCTATAATAGAGTCTGAGGCTATAATAGGGTCTGAGGCTATAATAGGGTCTGAGGCTATAATAGGGTCTGAGGCTATGATGGGTTCCGAGGCTATGATGGGTTCCGAGGCTATGATGGGGTCCGAGGCTATGATGGGGTCCGAGGCTATGATGGGGTCCGAGGCTATGATGGGGTCCGAGACTATGATGGGGTCCGAGACTATGATGGGGTCCGAGACTATGATAGGGTCAGAGACTTTGATAGGGTCGGAGACTGTGATGGGGTCGGAGACTGTGATGGGGTCGGAGACTGTGATGGGGTCGGAGACTGTGATGGAGTCGGAGACTGTGATGGGGTCGGAGACTGTGATGGGGTCGGAGACTGTGATGGGGTCGGAGACTGTGGGTGGGTCCGAGACTGTGGGTGGGTCCGAGACTGTGGGTGGGTCCGAGACTGTGGGTTGGGTGGGTCCGAGACTGTGGGAGAGTACGAGACTGTGGGAGAGTACGAGACTGTGGGAGGGTCCGAGACTGTGGGAGGGTCCGAGACTGTGGGAGGGTCTGAGACTGTGGGAGAGTCCGAGACTGTGGGAGAGTACGAGACTGTGGGAGGGTCCGAGACTGTGGGAGAGTACGAGACTGTGGGAGGGTCCGAGACTGTGGGAGGGTCCGAGACTGTGGGAGGGTACGAGACTGTGGGAGGGTCCGAGACTGTGGGAGGGTCCGAGACTGTGGGAGGGTCCGAGACTGTGGGAGGGTACGAGACTGTGGGAGGGTCCGAGACTGTGGGAGGGTCCGAGACTGTGGGAGAGTACGAGACTGTGGGAGGGTCCGAGACTGTGGGAGAGTACGAGACTGTGGGAGGGTCCGAGACTGTGGGAGAGTACGAGACTGTGGGAGGGTCCGAGACTGTGGGAGGGTCCGAGACTGTGGGAGGGTCCGAGACTGTGGGAGGGTCCGAGACTGTGGGAGGGTCCGAGACTGTGGGAGGGTACGAGACTGTGGGAGGGTCCGAGACTGTGGGAGGGTCCGAGACTGTGGGAGGGTCCGAGACTGTGGGAGGGTACGAGACTGTGGGAGGGTACGAGACTGTGGGAGGGTACGAGACTGTGGGAGGGTCCGAGACTGTGGGAGGGTCCGAGACTGTGGGAGGGTCCGAGACTGTGGGAGGGTCCGAGACTGTGGGAGGGTCCGAGACTGTGGGAGGGTCCGAGACTGTGGGAGGGTCCGAGACTGTGGGAGGGTCCGAGACTGTGGGAGGGTCCGAGACTGTGGGAGGGTCCGAGACTGTGGGAGGGTCCGAGACTGTGGGAGGGTCCGAGACTGTGGGAGGGTCCGAGACTGTGGGAGAGTCCGAGACTGTGGGAGGGTCCGAGACTGTGGGAGGGTCCGAGACTGTGGGAGAGTACGAGACTGTGGGAGGGTCGGAGACTGTGATGGAGTCGGAGACTGTGGGAGGGTCCGAGACTGTGGGAGGGTCCGAGACTGTGGGAGGGTCCGAGACTGTGGGAGAGTACGAGACTGTGGGAGGGTCCGAGACTGGGAGAGTACGAGACTGTGGGAGGGTCCGAGACTGTGGGAGGGTCCGAGACTGTGGGAGGGTCCGAGACTGTGGGAGGGTCCGAGACTGTGGGAGGGTCCGAGACTGTGGGAGGGTCCGAGACTGTGGGAGGGTCCGAGACTGTGGGAGGGTCCGAGACTGTGGGAGGGTCCGAGACTGTGGGAGGGTCCGAGACTGTGGGAGGGTCCGAGACTGTGGGAGGGTACGAGACTGGGAGGGTACGAGACTGTGGGAGGGTACGAGACTGTGGGAGGGTACGAGACTGTGGGAGGGTACGAGACTGTGGGAGGGTACGAGACTGTGGGAGGGTACGAGACTGTGGGAGGGTCCGAGACTGTGGGAGGGTCCGAGACTGTGGGAGGGTACGAGACTGTGGGAGAGTACGAGACTGTGGGAGAGTACGAGACTGTGGGAGGGTCCGAGACTGTGGGAGGGTCCAAGACTGTGGGAGGGTCCGAGACTGTGGGAGGGTCCGAGACTGTGGGAGAGTACGAGACTGTGGGAGGTTCCGAGACTGTGGGAGGTTCCGAGACTGTGGGAGGGTCCGAGACTGTGGGAGGGTCCGAGACTGTGGGAGGGTCCGAGACTGTGGGAGGGTCCGAGACTGTGGGAGGGTCCGAGACTGTGGGAGGGTCCGAGACTGTGGGAGGGTCCGAGACTGTGGGAGGGTCCGAGACTGTGGGAGGGTCCGAGACTGTGGGAGGGTCCGAGACTGTGGGAGGGTCCGAGACTGTGGGAGGGTCCGAGGCTGTGGGAGGGTACGAGGCTGTGGGAGGGTACGAGACTGTGGGAGGGTACGAGACTGTGGGAGGGTACGAGACTGTGGGAGGGTACGAGACTGTGGGAGAGTACGAGACTGGGAGAGTACGAGACTGTGGGAGAACACAAGTTTGGTTTTACAGGTGGCACCGTCTTATGTGGAATGTTTGCAAATCTGAGACGGCCTGCGACCGAAATCATTCGACCCAATCTCAAGCATGAATGTCCAAGCTTCTTTCCGAACTGTGATGCAGTGTTTGTGTCCAATTGCTTGAGGGCTAGGCCTTCCCAAAGTGCCCCTTTCTGGCTACCAGCCGCATGAACTTGCAGTCGACCGAGGCACCTCCTATCCACAGCCCTGGAACAATAATAGAGTTTGAGACTATAAGAGTCTACACATCTGTAGACTATGTGAGACTAGAGTCTACAAGATCATAGTCTCTTAGACTATATGGCGAGCAAGTTGACCAACACTGCTCCGTTCTTGCATGAAAGAGGAGGTGCAAAAAGATGAGGGAGCGATCGCACGTGCAAAGAAGATCTGCCTTTGCAGGCAGTATCTTTTATCTGAGGTACACATACAACACTTCGGCTGTGAGTTATTTGCTTGTTGCTCCTGAGACTTGCTCTCTGGAGTGCCTCTCTAGCCTGGGGTTCCGCTCGGTGTGAGGGATGCACACCTTCCAACTTCACTAGTGGGTGAACTGTAGTCTCAAAGTATCTATATGGTGAACAAGTTTGCTTGCTCTTTGTGCAGAGGGTACAGTGAAGTCACGGCACCGAGCTCTGATTGAAGGACAGCATGTTGACACAAAGGGTGATTTTCAATCGGAGCGAGCAAGTTTGTCTGCTTTTTGTGCAGAGTTAGAGACGTCACGGCACGAAGCTCTGATGGGAGGACATAGGGTGTGGAAACAAGGGTCCAATCTTTGAGTCTACCCAATGTGTCCTCCACTCGGAGCGAGCGACTTCTTCTGCTCCTTGCACACTTGGTGTCGTGGTGAGCTCTGGCATCCTTTGCTGGTTGAAGCTGTGGCTACCTTGTCTTTGTTACAACTTTTCGAGGTCCAGTGGTTCTTTACGAACAAGGACTTGGTCTTTGAGAAAGGGGAGATGGAATAGTTCGATGGGTATGTTGTCTTTGTCGACTTGTAATGCCAACCTTAGTAGCTTTAGCACAGTTTTTGTGCAGGTGCCGTTCCTAACATTGGCGAGTATGTCTGGCACGCAACGAACGCAGGTACCTGGCCCTGCGCGACCTGAACCTGCGCTACCTGTCCCCCATCGGGTCCAAGGCAGTGATGCGCACCCGCTCCAACTCGGTGACCAGGGATGAGCTCTTCTCGCTCGAAGACTCTGTGCCGCAGGCGGCCTTTGTCGGCTTCAACGGGAAATATGTCTCCGTCAAGCAGGGTGAGTTTCCACGGACCCGGTATCGTGATATACCATCGCAGTTTCTAATGCATCCCTCCCTGGTCTGTTTACCATCCTAGGCCTCCCATGCTTGTGTATGTTGCAAGAACACAAATAACGCTACACACAGGTACAAGTAGAAGAAATGAATGCGGCGAGCACCACTTTTACTTGTTCAGTAAGTCGTGTCACGTGTGAGTCATAGCATATCAAGAATGGGGGCTCGCAAAACGCGACGAATTAAACCTCCCTTTTTCTATGCTCGAGGGAGATTGGCCTAGCTCTTGCCTACTGTCTAACACACCAGTACTTGTACTTCTTCTACTTGTCATTGTCTGCGGCACTAAATGTGTTCTTGTTAAGTTTGCCCAAATAAATCAATAGTTTTTTTATGGGAATGTTCGCGAAAAGGCATCAAATTATGTTGCGAGGACCTACAAAGAAATGTTCTTGATCGTCATGCCCGCTAGTTGGTCGTTGAGAGGACGGTGCAGTAAATCGGACATCATCACCTGTGTCATAATTACTAGCTTCGTTCGATTTTTCTGCACCGGTGCTCCAGGAGGTGCAGGTAAATCAAGCAAAGCTAGTGTTGTGCAAATATTCCAATTTTCAAATAGTAGTTTCGAATAATAGGCTATTCAATATTCGCTTTGAGGTGAACTCGATATTCACACTTTTCAAAGTGTCGACCGCGTCGGGTGAGCCCCGCTGTGGGCGCTTTTCTCCGAGCACCTGTGCACTGCGGGTAAGCAATACCCGCAGAGCTCGTGGGCTCCGCCAATATTGGTTCCCCACAGTTCACAGGTGCTCGTTGAGAAGCGCACTTAACAGGGCTAACCAACTGTGATTATGCAAAAGTACACCGTAGAATACCGCGCATCTACCCATTCCACACTAAGCACGCATTCCCAAATTCGTAAGGTCTGACAAAATATGCAGAGTACATTGATATGTAAAATTGATGATCAAACAAGCAACCATCCCCCATATTTTCGTGATTATCTCTAAATTTTGAATGGGCACTTGCCCGGTATTTTACGGTATGGTATGCATTGATTTCTTGACAACCCGCATTTGATATTCACACTTTTTTTCTTTTTGTCAAATTTGAAATAAAACAAAATTTGTATATATAGCAAGCATATTTATAAATCGCCTTAATTGGAGTTGCTGCAACAAATTTGATGCCTACATGCCACAGTTCATAAATATAGTTACCTAGTATATTAAAATATACTGAGCTAGAAGTGGACAAATGGGAGGTTAAGAACAGCTTTCATGGTTTAAGCTGAATTTTTGTTTAACCGTTATGCATGGTAGTGAAAGGCTTGGAGAAACTATTTGATAACTGATCAGAAAATATTTGGCCAAGACCACTATTTGCTTCAAAAACATAATACACTATTCGCCCATGCCTAGTCATAATGTCCAAATATGGAGCTGTTGGAGCTTTCGCTGATTGGTCAGCTCCTAGGCGAACTATAGCTTGTCTAGGGTTTTCTCTCCAATGGGCCGACGGTTGCAAAAGATAGCTGCCAGTCCCGCGACGATCTGAAGAGGGCACAATCGTGACATCATTGTGTGGAAAAGCAGCAAACAAAACAAAGCTGCAATAAACGCACCAATGGGAAGTACATTCCGAGCACCATAGTCATGTTGACATCTTCGGTTTCTGGCTCGAGCGTCTGATCACTCCGGATTGGCCTTCCTCAACTTCCTTTGCTGCCTTGTCCCTGTGCTCACGATTCAGATGCAGTTATAAATAAATCGCCGCGTTTAATCGAACATTTTCACGCTTCGAAACACAAAGCTGTGAGAAGACTGAGCGCAGAGATATCGAAATGGAGCCCATCTTTTAGTTTTCGTTTGTGGTGCAGTCGGTATCAGCTCAGATATACGCATCTGTTATCCCCTAATATTGAGCTTTGTATGCTCTTCGAGGCCCTTTTGCACATATAGCATAGCGCTAGCTCAGTGCAAGACTAAACAGCGCCCAACATGATTCTTGAGATTGAAGCGGTCCTGTGCGCCGATATTGTGGAAATTCGGCGCTGCACTGGCAAAAAGCTGGCGCTGTTTCCAGCGCCTGCTAATAGCGCATTAACAGTACACGTCATGCGTATGCGCGAACGGGCCTCGAAGCTCCAAGCCGTCCGGGAATTACGGTAGTGCACCAACGCTTTTTTTTTCGATCGGTTAACGCGCGTGTGCAATGATGCAGGTGTGGACGTGACGGCCAATCAGGACGAAGTGTCCGACCACGAGACGTTCCAGCTGGAGTGGGACAAGGGTACCGGACGCTGGCTGGTGCGCACGATGCAGGACAAGTACTGGACGCTCGAGAGTTCCTCCGGGATCCAGGCCAACGCTGACAAGGGGTACGTTAACGGCGCGACCAAGCTGCAGCGTTGGCGGACGTTTCTGAATAATCGATGCACGTCCCCGCGACCACCAGACGATAAGACGCAGGTATAAGCAGCTGCTATCTTCGTTATGTGGAAGCTGGTCGCAGACAAGGAAGCTGTTAAGTTATCTCACGCGAAGCGAGAACTGTCTACCTTTGATAATGCCTTTGATAATGTCTGATAAGCCATTATTATTATTATTATTATTATTAGAGCATGTTGGAAGGCAATGAGTAGTAGCTGGAGGCCGGGTATTTGAAAGAGACAGCCTCCCATTCTCTCGTCTATAGTAAAAATAAGCTTTTTTACTAGGTCAGCGTCTTTGTTAGCATCTACGCCGGTGCTTCTCAAACTTCGCATCGCTGTGGACCCTCCAACCATCTAATCAGTTGCTGCGGAGCCCCATCGAATGTGTTTGTATTACAACAATGCATCGCACACGTCGAGGAACTTGCGTCGCCGTGAATTCGGGGAAGGTTCCTGTTGTTAGTCCAGCCCGATACAAATCCCTGCCATAATATCGTTGGCGTCGCTCAACTTGGCCGAGACAAAGCAGTCCCGCGGAGGAAAGTAAAAGTTGCAACACATATACCAATGTCGCCGCGGACCCCCGGGGGCTGCTGATTGCAGCTTGAGCCAATGTTTATCTTAAATGCCTGTGCCAGGGCATGTTGCAAGCATACTACCGTACCTTTACAATAGTAAGGAAGTAGTGCAATGAACTCTTCACTGTGAAACCTCTCCACAGCAAGGACGATTTAAAGCATTGAATATTTTTTAACAAATCCCCATACTCTCAAAAGCTTCTCTGTCCGTCCATCTGTCCATGCGTTTCCCTGCTGAATTTAGCGGGGAAACCGATGTCTCGCAGCATTGGGTGACGTGATGTCGTTGTTTCACGAGCACCGTGACTTCACATTGTAATGTCACACACACGTCACCACATTGCATGACACAAAAGGCTGACTTATCATGCCACATACGTCTCTGAGCAAGCACGTCCGTGGCCGAACGGTTATCGTGCTTGGCTCCCATGCAAAAAGTTGAGGTTCGGTTCCTTTTAGCAGAAGTACCTTTTCGTTCTTTACGTAAATGTCGCGCTCTGGTAAATTCGAGAACCCTGCTGCTTGTTCGAGGTCCGAATATTCTGCACACCAAACCTTGTACCCCGACTGTTCCAGAAGCTCACGTGTGTACAGGAAAGGCTCCGCATGCTGAGCCGGAGTCAGTCTTGCCTCGGTGCTCGATCCTGCGGGTTACGCTGCCATCGATGCTTGCGATGCTAGCCTTCTATTTCGTTTTGGGTACAAGTTTGCCCCATTGAAAGTTTGGCATCTGTTTGTTCGTTTGTCACCTCATCAATTGTCATTCGGGACAAAATAAAATTTTATTTCCCCTCCAAATGTAGTGGGAAAATGGACTTCGTGTGACCCGACACTTTTGTGTCACGTCACGGTGCCACGCGCACCTTGACATCACTTGATATCAGGTCACGGATCATCAATGTCCCTACTAAATTTAGCGGGGAAATCAATAAACACTATGTTGTTCACTCTCTGAAAGCACCGTTTAATGTCTTCTAAACAAGCTCAACCCGAACGGCGGTGACATTTAGTTTGTATTAAATCACTTTAAGGTTTGATTTTCAGAGTCCAATTTTTTTTTTTTTTTTTTTTTTCTTTTTCAGAAATTATTTTTGCATCAGAAGTCACGCACTTCACGCTTTGTAGGTCCTTGGAGACGAAGGTTGCTCGCAATTCTTAGCCTTGACTGCAGAGCTCTGCCCTTGCAGGTCATCCAACTGCCTGTTTGAGCTGTGCTGGCAGGCTGACGGGAGCCTCACCCTGGTGGCCAACAACGGGAAGCTGGTGGGGGCCAAGAAGAGCGGCCACCTGTTTGCCAACTGCGAGGCGGGGGACCCCGCGGCCAAGTTCCACTTTGCCCTGGTGAACCGTCCCGTGCTGGTGCTGCGTTGCGACCAGGGCTTCGTGGGGCGCAAGGGCCCCTCCTCGCCCAAGCTGGAGTGCAACCGGGCCAGCTACGAGGTGGTGCACGTGGAGCGGGGGGACCGGGGCGTCTGCCTCCTTAAGGGTACGCACCAGACACGCTTTTCCAAGTGCCGTCGGTCTGTCCGTCCATTCGTTTCTGGATTTCCCGCTAGATTTAGCGGGGGAAATCGATGTCATGTGACTTAAAGGGCAACTCCGCTCAATTCCGAAAAATTTAGGCTTCCATGTGATTCACATTCACAAAGCACCACTGAACAACTCTACGTCTTCGGATTCGCGAAATGTGGAATAATATTTGTGTAATCCTAATTTAAACATCAGCAGATACCGAAACCGAAACTTCGGTTGCGTCAGGCAACATCGGTCTCGGGTCGTCAAAGGCATGCACGTCACGTCGAACCACGTGGTCTTGTGACGCTCGGGAGGGAGCGAGAAACAGGACACGCGACGCGGGCAAATTTTTTTTTTTTTTTCTTTTTTTTTTTTTCTTTTTTTTTATTGGACGCGGGAAGGTCGCTTTGCGTGGCGTGGACGGTGATGGCCTGGGTGAGAGGGGGAAGGGAAAAGACGAAAGAAAAGGGGAGCGGAGAAACAGACCGATAAGCGCGCAGGGCAGCGCAAAGTAGCGCATCCGTGTTACGGTGATCACGTGAACGCCCGGTCAGCCAACACCGGGAGGAGAAACTCATGACGTCATTGTTGAATTTCGCTCTGAGAAATAAAAACAAGCAAAACGTGAGAATGACGTACATGCCTCTGACGTAGTGGCTCAACGTTGGCCGCTCCAACTCCGTGGCATTGACTGCGCTGATGATTGCGCCTCGCGCCGCACGCTAGAGTTGGCAGATTTCGGCGACTTGGCTCGCTTGAAGGTTTGCCGGCCAGTTTATTAAATAAATAAACGGAATTAGATCGTAATATTTGACGTGGGGTCTTCCTATATGATACTGAAGAGGTCTACATAGTTTTCTAAATATCAAAAATGAAGCGGAGTTGCCCTTTAAGGGGGGGGACACTACCCAAAGAAGTGAATGCTTGAACCACTCGTTTGATTTAAATGACTCTTACAGGGATTGTTTCCGTTAATATTGAGAATGTTTCTGCCAAATTTCGTTAACCTGGGTGAAGTACGGAAAAAATTGCAAATGTTCAAAGATGAAAGGGGAACTATTGTTTTGAAATTACTTATGAATTTGTTGTTTTCATATGTTATATTGCTTTAAGACAGTTCAGACCAGACAGCTATGGAGCTATATTTCTATATTATACCATCTTTCATGGCAAAAAACCCAGACAAACATAAATACTGTTTTTTTTTAGATTTCGATCTTTTGTCCAAAATTTTAGTTCTTGAGCATGAAAAATTACAAAAATAAAAAATATAAGCTTATTGTTACCTTCCCCTTAAAATTTCAACCCAGAAAATTTCATAAAAATGAATCCAAGTTACGTAATAACAAGATGATGGTTTTCCTAAAGTGAAATTTATGCCAAAAAGTGAAATGGAGAAAAATGTGTTCAAAGTGCTCCAACCTCTACCTTTCTTTAGCGTCGGTGGACCGAGAATAATTTACAAAAATAAAATATAAATAAATAAAACTCTCTGGGAATACTCTCTAGATGTTGGTGGATGCAAGTATGACATTTTTCAAAATCAACTTTTCTTGCAGAATTTTTTTTTTTTTTTTGGGGTAGTGTCCCTTTTTAGACACCGATTCAATTCCACCACTATATTTAGCAGGAAAACTGACGTCGCATGAACCATACACCAATTTAGTTCCTCCGCTAAATTCGGTGGGAATTCGATGTCCCATAACGTATGCACCAAATCAGCCCCCCCCCCCTCCTGCTCCCTCTATTTAGTGAAAAAATCGACGTTGCATAGCGTGGCGTCATGGATGTATGCACAAATTCAGTTTTCCCACTAACTAGATGACATAGTTTCTTCTTCACCCCCCCTGAAGCGACTGTTTAATGTCTTATAAAAAATTTTCAATTGAACCCCCTTAAGTGGTGCGTTTTGTGCAGTATAGAGATTTAGGAAATGAAGCTCGCTGCCATTTTTGTTTTGGCTCGTAGCGTCTGCCGCAGTTTACCGTAAGGTAAAACGAGAGTACATAGTTTTGCGTTTTTGGTGTACTGCCGATAATCCCTAAAAGGTTTTTCGCTGAAACCGGGAGAAAGCGAAGAAACCCGTAATCGGGAGCTGTTTTTGAGTGCGAAAGGGCTGAGCTTCGCAGGAAGAAATCCACAGCAGGGGTCGTCGAGGTTGCTGAGGCCGACGAAAGCCGACAGCACAAACCATCGGAGCCAGTCAAACGGCGCCAAAAGTGGATCGTCGCGGCTCTCGTTGTCTTTGTGCATCGACCATCGCCGGCTAGACCAGTCGTGCACGGAAAAAGCGCAGAATCGCGGGGCATTCACCACACCCGATTGGTTTAGACGACTAAAGTAAACGCACCAAGACGATGGGCACCGCGACAACGCACTTTTGGCGTTGCTCGATTCTCCCCATCGCGTTATAGCATCGGTAAGGTCAGACTTGGAGCAAAACGTTTGTCCGCTTCGTACGCGTGGGTTTTGACAACGTGAGAATGCGAAGCTCCGATTGGCTCCAGTCAAAGGATAGTGGGTAGACCTCAAAGCAAGGTGCCTCAGGGTCTGCCCACTATCCTTATCGGAGTCGATCGAAGCTCGGCATTCTGACATAGCTACAACTTGCACAAAAGAAGCAGACGAATTTGCGTTCTGCACGAGGCGCGTGTTGACTGTCCTCGTCTCACACCATTGACGGGATAATTAGGAGGAAGCGACGCTCCAGCACAACGCGCGCATCCGTTTTGTTTCGCGACACGTGACCATTCCTTCCCGTCGCAGGCAACAACGGCAAGTACTGGGGCGTCGCGGAGGACGGTTCCGTGTCCGTCGACGCGGACGACTGCCGCGGCTTCTACGTGGAGCTGCGCGAGCCGTCCCGGCTGTGCCTCAAGACGGCCGACGGATCCTACCTCAATGCGGACAAGAACGGAGCCTTCAAGGCTGGGGCTGCGGACCCCGAGCAGGCCACCCTCTGGGAATACTAGAAACCGTCTGCAGAGACGTCCGCACGGCCGGCCGTCCGGCTACGGCTACGGCCCCCCCACCCAACGCGGCCGGGGAAGCGGACCGTCCTCCCTTCATCCCGACCCCTAGTTGTTTTTTTGTTTTTCTCGTGACTTTTTTTTTTTCTTTCTTTGACTCTTGGGTTTTTTTTGTGGTGGTAATATGTTCTTGCTCCCATAACGCAATTCTGACCAGTACCCGTGAGCTGATGTGGAAGTATCGGGTCTCGGTTTAGCTATATCGATACCCTGCAGAGATGGCTGTTTGTGTTTAGCGTTAACTATTTCCTGCTACGTTGTCGAGGCTATAGCATAGCCTCTGCAGTGCTTTAACACTTTCAAAGCCACTTGCAAATGCGAAAGGTTGTCACGTGCACGTGCTCTCGCAGAAGCGCGTGGCTGCAGCACTGTGGAGGCTATGTCAGCCTCGACGACACAGCGCGAAATAGTAGGTGCCGAGTACAAGTCTGTCGAGAGTGCTCGACGACGTGGCCATACTGGAAAAACGGTACTGCCGGGAAAATACGACCGAATGTTACCGCCATCCGACATGACTTTGCCAGCGTGACCTCTGTCGTGCGAAGCCCAACTTTTATTCGAGGAAGTGGTAATGCGACGCAATATTCCTACCAATTTGCTGAGCAGCGTTCTTGTCTCCAGACAGCATTACAGTACTACTTGCCGTTGCTTTGCTGTGCCACCATCTAGTGAACAAACGCTTGCTGTATTCGGGCGACGGAAATATTTTACCGTTGAAACATTTTACGACATAATGTGCCCACATCGCTGAGCAGTGCCGCCGTCAAATCGGCTACTACCGTCTAATCTTGCTGCCAGCCAGAACTGGACTACCTTGAGCGATTCGGGTAACCGTACCGTGCCGCCGTAAGATCTTTAGCCTATTTCTGTGCTCGGTGAGGTGTGGTGAGATTCAGGAACAAATATTGTTTGTGTATTTGGGGGAATACAGTTCTTTCGTCGGTGGATTCGGCTTTACCAGTCAACCGCACAGTATGAGCGACGCGGTCGGCTCAGGCATGTGAACGTGTTCATCTGTGGAGGTTCCCCAAGACACGACGAAATCTGAGATTATTATTCGTACCGAGATTGTTTCTATCTAGCGAATGTAAACATAAAGTGAACTGGCATCGACCAAGTGAATTGTACCATAAATTTTTTTTTTAAGAGACTTTCTAGCTTAACGCAGGCACAATACACTCTTGGCAGTATTGCACCATGCCGACACTTTTTTTGTTTTCTGGACGTCTTTTCGTCTTCCGCTTTGCAATCATTTTTTTCAGAATCTCCACTACGTGTCAACGTCGGACGCTTTCGACCCCCCCCCCCCCTCCTCCTTCTCCCGAGATCAAATAATTTATGTCGGAAAACCCCCTAATGTAACAAGTGCGAGACTCGACGTCTCGTTGTGTAAAGCGACGTCTGATGTGTAGTTTGCATGTGTCTGTCTTCGCTTCGAGCCTGTACGTCGTTCCTTTACTCGCGTTTACTAAAAAGCGACAGAAAGTGACGTGTGCATTTTCGGACAGTACTCAATGTCTCATCGAAAACTGCAGGAACGCCGAAGGAATCGTTTTTGTACGCATGACGGCGGCCCACTTACTTAAACTCTGTGTCGGGCCGACGACTGGTTAGCCGGAAATGCTCAAGAGCCATGAGAATGATGCTCTCTAATCAAATCACTCGTGCTTTATTTGCAACAAACATCATAGCTTCCGGAAAGGACGGTGCGGCATCGTGCGACCACGACTCTGCCCTTAGGAATGTGTAACTGGACGCAACTCTTTCCTACTCTGACACATGCCAAATGGTTGACATTCCTTCCACTCTATAGTTGTATAGTAGGTTTATACATTTTTTTACACGACTACTCTCGGCAAACAACCCTGCGCGGTGGAATGTGCGGAAATTTGAAGACGGCGCCGCCGGCCGTTTTCATTTGACATTGCGTCTGCTCGCTCTGTGTAGCTTTATTTTCGTAGAGTATTGTTGATACTATATATATATATATATATATATATACTTTTTTGTGTTTTTTTTTTTTGTTTTTTTTCGGAGCTGGAATGGGCTCTTCTTGCCGACGGTGCGGGCTGGAATTTTTTCAAGTGTGTGTGACCAGTTTTTGCATGTTTATATACCGAAACTTTACGAAATACAACCAATTTTCAGTCATGGTGTGTGTGTTCTTTTTGACTAATAGTATGAAATGGATTCAGTTTTGGGTAAAGTGCATCTGTAAAATACTTTAAGTAAAGTTCAAAGTAAATGCGAGAGGTCATACTTCAAGTTAATTAGTGAGTACACTGGGTGCACTGTACGTGGAAGTAAAGCACTATAAATAGAATGTACTTTCAAAGTCGTGTGCAAGTACTATCGCAGACTCTTTTAGCTGTAACACGCGAGCGGCGGCCGTCCCGTACTTCCAGCGCCGCATAGCAGGCGCCTTCTGAAACCCCGTGCATGCGCCATGTGGCAGACTTTCTCCTCCCGCCAGCGAGCACAACTCCGCTTTGTCGTCTGCTAGGCGCGGGGCGGACAATGTCTCAGCACTTGCCAATGTTCGCTGAACACGGTTTAGTGTTCAGCGAACCACCATGTAAGAGGTGCCCACGGTTTCGTGGTCGCCTCTTACGCGGTAGTTGATTACCCGACTCGCGGATATGCATCCGCCTGACTGAGAATAATCATCACAACTAATTGCATATAGCACGGTAGATTACTTTGTTTCCCTCAGTCAAACTTGCAGTTGACGGTCTATTTCTGAATCATACCTGCTGCATTTATGCTGGTTTGCGAGCGTGAATTGTTGAAACATGCATTTTGCATAAATGCTTCTAAAAAAAGCAAAACCAAACAACAAGAAACATAGCCAGGGTTTATGCCACTATGACTGCAATCTGTCCCAATAAACATTGCCTGCCTAGTATGAGTTTGACACCACTTCATTATGGCGAGTATATCAAACGAACAGAGACAGCTGATAGTCGATTTGTGCCTAGATAGGCGCCCATGAAACCGTGTTCAGCAAACATTGGCAGATGACGCTGTGTCGTCGTCTGCTCTACGCCTAGCAGACGACAAAGCGAGGGTGTGCCCGCAGGTGCGAAGAGAGAGTCCGCCACACGACGCATGCGCAGAGTTTTGGACTGCACCTGCTATGCGGCACTAGGGGTGCGCAACGGCCGCCGCTGGCATGTTGCAGCTATTAGTGTTCACAATAGTACCTTTTAACATAACCTTTCATGATGCCCTTTCATTCCCCTGTATGGCGATTCTTTAACTGGTTTGCATTGTTTCAGGGGTAATGCCAGGTGCAATGGTTATTTTCGAAAATGGCGGTGAATATTAGAAGGTCAAGTGGCCATAAAGTAGTTATTTCGAGAAAGGGTGCCAAATTCAGAACTCCCTCAGACTTCTGATTTTGGTGCCGCTTGCACTGGCTTGCTGCACCCAAGGAAGTTGAACGCACCAGGCGAGAGCATGACAGCGGCCCCAATTAGCTTTCACGCTTGTAGAGGAGTGTCCTCTCCTTAACGAAAAAACAGTGTGCGGGCGTGAGAGCATGACAATCAATCGTACTGTGACACCTGAGACTGGTGCGGAAAAATTTAGGAACTTTCAAGTCGAAGGAAAAGACAAAGGAAGAGACAAAGGAAGAGGACGTCTCAAAACATTGAGATGTTTTCCTCTGTCATCCTTTTTTTTAACTTGGAAAGTTCCTAGAGTTTTTTGCACCACAGTGTCGTATGTTATGATTAATTGTCCTCTCCTAATATTTTTAACCTCCTCCCTTTCGCTAACTGAGCGAGAAGTGGCGAGAGATAGAAAATCTATAGGAAAGCTTTCCCCAGAACAAACTGAGTGATGTGTCGTCTGTTTGCGTTTCTGATAAGTAGGATATCCCTTCCAGTATTTCATCAGAGTTGACAAAGCAGCATTTTGTTATACAAATTGAGCAAGACCAAATTTAGGGAATATACTTTGAAGTCGAGAGTTGTATTTTCCTAAAAAAATAGCAGAAAAAAAAACAAAAAAAAACCTTAGTACAAGCACATATTTGGAGAATGTACTTCAAGTAAAGTACAAGTTTTCTACACCTATTTGAAGTAGTACTTTAAGTACAAAGAACTTCTCAACACTGGAAATGGATGGTAGGTATATTTTTCTAAAGCTCACCTTGGTGGAACATTTTTTTAAGTACAGCGTGTCCCCAAAAAGAATGTAGTGTTTGTTCACCACACAAATAAACTAGGGATGTCGCGAACCACCCTAGGTTCGATTTCAAAAGGTTTCGATATTTTCTAAGCGAACTGAGGTTCGAATTAGAAAATTTTCGATATCTTCGTACCGACCAAGGTTCGAATTCGAAAAATTTACAACTTTCGATCACAGTGGAGTTTCGAATTTGAAAAGTTGGAAGCTTTCACGGTTTCCAAAATTTCAGGTTTGAATATTTCAAATATTTTTTTACTTGTCAGTTCGATGAATTCAAAGATTTTGAACTTTCCTACCTTCTAATTCGAGATATACGAAAATTTCGAATTTCCTAGGATCTGGAATTCAAAGATTTCGAAATTCTTTGGATATAAAATTTGAATGCTTCAAATTTCTATAAAATTAAATTTTGAAGATTTCGAACTTTTTTCTACATACAGTTGGAAGGTTTCGATTCTCTTTTAATGCTAAATTCAAAAAAAAAAAAAGAAAAGAACTTTCCCATGATTTTGAATTTTTTTTTTAGGTTCAAGTTTTCAAAGTTTGAAGTCCGGTTTTCATGTTCCTCCACAGTTTCAGTTTCAAATAATGTTTTCACGACTCACTAGTTTTCACGAAATCAGGTTTAGAAAAGTTGGGGTGTGATATTTAGACTCCACAAAGTTGGGTCAGGCAATTAAATGAGACGACGTGGCAATTCAATGAGACGACTAGTGTCTCGGATGTGCTGGAATATTTGCCAGTGCAGAGTGATGTGTGACCATAGATCAGTAATTGTGATGCACTGTTTTACGATACTCATCCAGTTCGAAACGGCCAGGGGCAGGCAGGAGGTTTAAGCTCAGAAAAACCTTGAAGCGACCTAACAAACTACCTCCTTACCCCTTGCACGCTGGTAGTAATCCGATCGAACGCCGTCCAAGTGACGCTGGCATATAGTAAATTAAGTTTGTAATTGCCCTATAGGTTTATTTTCCGGGACGGAGGAAACGCCTCGCAAAAAGCACAGAAGCCGACACAAATCGAGGTTGAGGAGCGTTCTACCATACAAGTGGCATCAGAAGAGGAAAAACACGGGCGGGGGCTGCAGCCCCCCTTTTTTTCTTCCAGATATTTCGGACTGCTAAAGAAAGATCGCGTAGATGGTCATTCTCGAAAACTTGTTGTCAGAAGGCACTACTTGTCACATGCTTAGTGGTTCGGAAGTTCACAGCTATGTCTTTTCTACCTAAATGACTGTGCCATTGATAAAAAATAAATAAAAATAAACATAACAATAAATGCGGGGATAAAAAGCTGCAGAAAAAAAAGACTACCAAGAACCCGCCGGAAATGTTCTATACTTGCATATTCAGAGGCTCAGAAGTTCGAAACAAGTTTCTCCTACCAAAATGTGTTCAGGCTAAAAGAAACACGTCCCAAGAACGTAAAGCGAAAAAAACAAATGTTTATTTTTTAATGACGTGCTGAACTTGAACAATATTATATATCTTTTCCCATGAGTTAATTTATTCCTGAACGTGAAAAAAACAATACATACATTATTTTGTATTCTGCAGAGGGCAATGATATGTACTGTCTGTAGTGTTAATTTAAATGCGATACATCAAACAACTTAGACAAAAAAAAAACAAGTTTAGGGCATAATTACCCGTAGATAGATGTTTGGACATTTCTTCGAAACTTATCTTGAATAACGATAATCACATCTTAAGACGACACTTACCTAGGCTATACATAGATCATTCTTAAAAAGTTTAACGTCTCTACCATAAATAGCTTCGGTTATAGCGCGCTTCAAATATGGCACAAGCGACAATCGTAAAAAGACTGTCGTCCTTCCTCACCCCTTCGGGAATTTATTTCTTTAAAACTAAGCATGCCAGAACATTGAAATAAACAACATTGTCTTTCGTAAGGAAAGCAGCACCGCATGTAAAAATTTGAGAAAAAAAAATTACGAATGTACCACACTACTTGAATTCAAATGAAACCGTCCACCGATCTTTCGAAGTTCGACAAACGTCGAACTTTTACCCTAAAAGTTCGAAGTTCGTCGAACTTTTGACATGTCATGATTCTAAAATCGAAACTTTTCGAATTCTCTTGATAAATAAGTTTGAAATATATCAAATTCCTTAGCGCAGGAAATTCGAAAGTTTGAAAGGCTTCGAATTTTTTAGTGCAAGAAGTTCAAAAGTTCGTAAATCATCACATCTTTTGGTCTATCAAGTTCGAAAGTTCGACAAGCATCGAATTTTGCAGCGTAATAAGTTTGAAAGTTCGAAAAGGATCAAATTTTTTTAGCGTCATAAGTTTGACGGTTCGAAAAGCGTCGAACTTCTTAGTTTAACAAGTTCAAAAAATTCAACTTCCGTCGAATTTTACATTATAGAAAGTTCGAAAATTCGAAATCTTTCGGACCGCTTGATTCGATAGTCGAAATTTCAGTTCTAAAAAAATTCGCGGCATCCCTAAAATAAACTAGTCATCGCCAAATGCTCAGTGCCCAAATGTAGAACTCATGGTCCAGACAAGATGCCAAATGTTCAGAATTAAACCATTATGCTATTTGTGAGGTACAGGTACAGGCACAAAAATTTCAATAGGAAAAGGGAGTGCATTATTTTGGGCTGAAAATATTTATCTTGGGGTTTGGTGGCCACCATTATACCGACTCTTAAAAATTTCTGGAAATCGATTATAATCTTTTTAGTGCAACAAAAGCAAGCTGTGGAACTTTGACACCGGGTCCTGACCGTTAGCACTACATCTGGGCAGAGACTGGGCATTTGGAGATTCATAACTTATTTCTGCAATATATACAGTAGCGTACCAACTTGTTTCTCAGTGGGAGAGCAAACCAAACCCCCCCCCATGCCCAGTGCTGGGGGGCGGTGCCCTTGGTATCCCTAAAGTCCCTCGATGTTTTATCATATCCAGGGACGTTAGGTATCTCTTGGGTGCCGCCGGCCAGTGTTTGCCCTGCCCAGTGGCGGCTGTTTCAGAGGGGGCATACACATGCCTTGTCCCCCCACCCTAACTAACTGTGCATGACAACACTGCAAAAATGGTTTTAAAGAAGTAGAAAAACTGCAGCATTCTTAAAGACTTGAGCGTGTTCGTGATCTACATTGACTTAAAACGAAAGAAACACATGTCGTCTGTTTCGTCCTCTTATGTGTTTCTTTCGTTTTAAGTCACTGCAGCATTCCCAACGAATTTCCCTTCTGCCGAGCAGCAGTTGATTCTGAAGAACACATTCGTTTTAGACCTACTATTTCAAACCAGCCTTCCGTTGTACAACTACACCTTACTTCTTGGTAAGGTGTAGTTGTTGACACGCTCTTCTAATTTTATCAATGTACACCTTACCTATGTTGGGAGTTCAACTTTGCTTGTTTTTAGCCACCATAAACGAGAATCACTAAGCCTAACTACCCCAACTTAAACTTAACTACCCTGGGCTTTACGTCGCAAAACACCCGCGCGCCATCTGCGAGCCCTCTGGCAAACAAGCCCGTCCACATCGTAAAGCGGAACGACACACCAAGTGGATTAGAGCACTTTACCGCCACCAGCTGCCGCTGCGAGCTCAACGAGCAAGAGAAAAAGATAAGAGAGAACACAAAACAGGATCCAAATTACGTGTTTGTCGGCATTTGATCCTTTGCCCCTCCCCATTGGCGAAAGGAAACGCCCGCTCCGCCCCCTCAATTTACGAGCAACCAATCCTGAAGAGCGGTGGCACTGACGTCACTTACTACGCCGTGGGTTCTGCCTTGCCCGCATTGCGCGGCCCCCAGCCATCCATTTTTTGCGCCGCGACACGATTCCTCGTAGTAGTGGGAACTCGGTGCAGCTAGCCAGCGGCGCGGCCCCAACAAAACAACACCCAAACAACGACACGACGAAACAAGAGTCGTCCACTATTATTTGTTGTGGTTCGTGCGACGACTGTGGATCTGCGGCTCCGTGAGCGTGCGCGCGTGTGTGGTTCAGTGAATACTGCTGTTGTTTGCGGCGACGGTGCTGTGTTGTTCGTCGCCTTTGCGGATAACCCCCCCACGGATACACTTTTCGGCGTAGCTTCGACGACATCGGCCCAACGTGCTGTGTGACGGTGAGTTTTTGACGCCGCCGAACTCGGCGCCGACGCACTACTGCAGGTTAAATCACCCCCGGTAGACAAGCCGGGCTGTCCCGTGCGTTTTGAGCGACTCTTCGCGCCGGATTATCGCCGCGACGGCGCGACTCGATCGCGTCTGTGACGCGCACGTTTTGCTGCGATGTCACCTTACGTTCGTCGGACACACTGCTGATCCGTCGCCGTTCAAAACCTCCAACAGTACTGCCGTTTGTTCGGGCAGTACTGTTACGTTAGAGCGCCGCACCTTGATCCGATGTTGACGGCGGTTGTGTGCTGTGACTGTGAGTCACGAAGTACCGTCGTACTTGGCTCGGTAATTTCATCGGTTGCGTTCTGTTCGTAGTTTTAAGAGCAACCTACCGTTAACTGTGTTATTGCCACGCGTTAGTTGGACGCGAACGTTGAATAGCTCGTTGCCGGCCGTCGTTGGGCTAGCGTTCCATCAAAACGAGGCGTGGTTCCCTGATAATTTTTTTTTTCTTTCTGTCGTTCGTAGTAGCTCGCCTTCTGCGCTCGCTTGCTGCCGGGGAATTCGTTTATGGTGTGTATTTTATTTCGTCCGCGCTAGCAGTGAGCTCCTGCTGCTGCTGCTCCTAGGGAAGCATAACCAGTTTGGGACTGGAGGGGGGGATAGTCTTTTTTATTCTTGTTTCGGTTTGGTTTGGCGTGTCGCTCGGCGGCGGCAGTCTCACCTTCTTTCCCACGGCGCCGCGAGTGTCTGGGTCTTTCGCGACGTTTTCGAAAGTTCATCCATTTTGACCCAACTTGTGTGTGTGTTTTCTTCTATTTTTGTTGTAGTTGAAAGTTGGAACGTCCCTACGCGACGCTATCTAGAGAAAGGGAGCGTTTTCACGTAACCCCCTTCCCTATCAGTTTCGCTCAAGTATGGGCGTCGCAGAACCGAAAACACGGCGCTGATTGGCCACGTTCCGATGTGTGCTTTTTAAGTGACCAATTTGAGACGGGCTTCCGTTTTGGCGAGCAACCATATATGTGAGCATAGAGATCATATACTAAATCTAGAGGAAAAGGTCCGCCATTTTCCCATACATTCTGGCTGCCGCAAGCGGCGGACCATGCAGGCAGACCCTCTGGGTCCCAAACACGGTTTCATCATCAGAGCAGTTTCGTGAACTTCAACAATCCACGAACTTACCGGTGGAAAAATACTCGCGTTCCTTTCGAAGGTTTCTTTTTGCATAGCGCGCAGATGTACGGCCTCGCGTTAACGCTAAACTAAACCATATACCCGGCTTCGCTGGTGGGGCGCGGCTGGGCGCGGTTGAGGAATATGAAACTGCGCAACCATCAGATTTCCGAGATTTCGACAGAAGGGAAGTTAATGCAGCGTAATGACTTTATTGCTTTTTATAAGCGTTAGAATAGCTCAGAATTTAGTTTACAACGTTAAATTATCACTGTTTATATTGCTGGGAGTTTACACTCTTCGCGTTTACCGCGTTTACCATGGCAACGTTGCTTTCTTTCTCTCGTGTTCTGTCGCTCTCTTTCGCGATCGTTCACTCGGGACCCAGGATGTCGGCGCACGGGATTTGCCACTCCTCCTCACCCACCTTTACCCCCCTGTATGTGAGTTGACTGAGCTCCGTCAAAGCCTGTTGTAAGAATTGGAGGGCGTGGCGAGGTCCTAGCCCCGTAGCCAATGATATGAAGCAGGAGGCGTGACGTAGTAAATGGCCTACTACGTCACGCCTTGTCTTTTGGGCTGTCAAAAACTCGTTTTTTCGTGTGTTTTTTGTTTTTTTTTTTTATTTTACTGTGGGCCTTTACGATTATCATACTGATACGATCTCCTAAATAATGTCAGCTCTGTCAAAAATCAGTTGACAGCTTGTTGCGCTGACTGTGAACGAGGTTGCATTTACCCAGTGGCCAAAGCAGCTGCTCAGCTAAGTTAACGTCTCCGACAAACTAGACTAGTGTAATTGTACTATTACCAGTGGGTCTCCTCAAGGTGTCAGTTTAACTGACAGTTCTTGCACAGTTTCGTTGAAGTTTCAACACGTAATTGACAGATGCATCCGTGTATTTCGGATCCACTGCAGCTCAGTGCAAGTGAGCGCCACGTTTGCTATTTGCATGTCGAGTGCCAAAATACTTCTTGAATTGGTTGTCATGCTGTATGGGTGGCGCGGATGTCTTGAGAGAGGCGGTTGTAACTCGACGTGAGTCCTCAACAACGTAGTTAAACGCTACCCTGCGAATGGACCTATAAGGTATTACGTTTTTATCGCATTTTACTGACGCGTCAACGACCGAACTTTTTAACATCCAGAATGAAGCCGCATTTGAGCATATGCTTCACACTGTTGGCAAGTGCCTAAAGTACTTTGGAACTCGGCGTAGTAGGTTTGCGTTTGGTTAGCTTGAAATTTACTAAGTGTTCATTTAATAACAAGGTATACCTCACGAAAATGATGTCTAGCGCCCTCGAAAAAGTAAACACCGGACTTCCAACTGCATTTCTCTAAATGTGTGTGGTAAAACTCGCCTAGTTTGACGTCGAGGTATACTTGGGCATATGTGAAATGCAAGACACTGAACTGCGTGGTTGATGGTACTATTCCCAAAGCAGAATAGGAAGAGTAAAATAGTAATCACCGTTCATTTCGTGAACAAGAGCAAGTTAAACACTACTTAATTGAGCTAATACAATTCGCTCAAAAGCTTTTTTTTTCTTCTTTTTTTTAGCATTTTAGCGTAGTTTTTTTAATAAAATTGTTTTGAATGATTACCCCCCAGAACATATGTTCGTACAAGTGAGCATTTCTTTTAATTGTGACATGAGCAGCTGATTTATTGTTGGCGGCGTGCGCCAACTACAGGGGGCGCTTCTCTGGTCATCATCATCATCATCATCGTTTGTGACGTCACGGGTAGGACAGACCGCGCGGATCCATGGATCCCGCGGCTCGTCAGCTCGCTTCATACGCTGTTTGGGTAACGCGCGGCAAAGCCCGTTTCACGCGATGTGTTTATTTGCTGAAGTAATATTTGTCGTATAGGACATTTTACCAAATCTTGAAACGTAGTCGTGCTAACAACCGCTTTTGGCGCCGAGGCGTCGAAGCGCTCGGATGGTGGTGTGCTCTTCTCTACCCCTGTACAAAAAGCTGGATGATGAAAATAGAATATCGAGCGCTTTATCCCACTACATCATCTACCACGGCGAATGGGGTGTATGTTTTATCGCGATTCTGACAAAATAAAACTGAGAAAGGAATGTCTCGTCAATTTGAAAATAGAAAAGCGAATATTTTGGTTATTTGCCTAGAATCTTTTATACGGGGAAGGCGTGCACGTGTGGCGCGTGGAACACCAATCCCTGCATTCTCCTTGATGCTTGGGTGATTTAGCAATCGGTGCGCTCCGTCAACTTCGGCCCCAACTTTGTGTTTAACGAGTTTAGAGGCCTAAAAGTCGCCATGTGACAAACTTCTTTGCTACGTATTCGAGGCGGGAGGAGCTAAGTGTTAGTTGCTGTCCAGCATTTACTCGTCAGCAACTGTCGAGTCAGACTTGGATGGAAGCGTCGGTATCAGCAAGCTCAATGTAGCTCAAACAAGTGTGCTTTGCCTTGCAACAGAACTGTGCGCGCGTGCACAGCTAAGAAGAGAGCATGCCATTTACTCTAATGAATGCAAAACCTTTTTTTTTTACAGCAGTCTCCACAGATGCGAAAAAACAAGAATCAGACTCGGTTGCGAATAGCCCCGCACGCCGCGGAAGCCGTAATGTGAAGCTCAGGCTTTTTTGAACATTTGATAGATTTTTTTTTTTTTTAATTATAAAAAGCCATTTCGAGGAGCTGTTGTTAATTACAAAGATCACTCACAAAAACGTCATACGCGTTCCTTTGAATTAATACACCGTTTTTAATCGTCTGCTCGCATCCTACCTGCTCCGTCGCGGGAGAGCGCCCACGAGGTGGCGCCATCAAAACCATCTCGTCGCCATATAATTAAAATCGTCGCCATCTTAAAAAAAAAAAAAAAAAAAAAAAGGTATAGTTTTGCGCATAGTTAACACGCTGCCCGTATAGTATTTCTTGTGCAATTTTGTCTGGCTCTCATATAAAGAAAACACGATGCTAAAAAAAAAAAAAGGACTAGTTTTCCGCATGTTGAACACACACTGACGGTATAGTAATTCTGGTATAATTTAGAGGTAAAACAACAAGCGATTTTGTTTTCTTTTACGTTTGAAGCATCGTACACTGCGCGACACTGTTAGCGCGAACAAGCAATCACCGGTTCTTGCTGGTTTTTTTTGTGTGTTTTTTTTTAAGTATCGAAAGGCTGACAGCAAAACTACTACTAGTGTGATGGGAAGTGCTCAGTTGGAGCATTCAACTAAGCAGTCAAAATTTCGAAGCAAACTGCGAAAACGTGCCGATGCCGCGTGGTCGCGCTAAAACTGTCGCGAAGTGTATACGTTTCGATGAATTGGAACTGTCTCTTAGTCTCTCATAAAGAAACCTTCCATATTGCGAACGGAAGGGGGCATTCTTATAGTCTCTTCGCAGCTTGAGAAACACAGAAAGTGGTTCATTGTGTTCACGCTTCGTGATTTCTTCTTCGGCCGAACGTTGTTTGCTATATACGGTAACGTGCTGCTAAACTTAACTTTATCGGGTTGGCTAATGGGGCATTAACAAGGCAAGAACCATAGACCCGTTCTAGTGACAAGAGCTCCTCTCTGAGGAGGCTAAAATGTTTTAATGTAGTTCCCAATTTCACATCAAAAGTTTCTAAAAAAAATAGTTTAAAATTTCGCCACCCTACTCCAACCACCTGCGCCTCGTATATGCTTTTTCCGAGCTTTGAGTTTTCTACGATGCGCCGTTCATATATGGAGTGCGAATTGCGCGGTGGCATAACCTGTGTATGTTACTTGGAAGGGAGAAAATTCTCTACTCGGAAGTACGTAAAATCTCATCTGCTTTGTACTTG